TATGAGACTGAAGCAACAAAGGTGCCACTGTCACTGCTTTCAGACAAAGTGATGCTACAACAGCCCTATTAGAATCACAGTTATTTAAGACACAACTGGATTTGACACATCATTGTCTGCAACCAACAGCAGAAATGTCAAAGCTAGGCTTGTTCTCCTAGATTCTGAAGAGAGACAAGGTGTAAGACTGGTGGCTTGCTAGTTACCAGTAATGACAGCAGACCTGTGGAAAAGAATAATGAATGTTGGAAGGGACTACCCGAGGTAATTTGGTTAAGAACTTTCAGTATCCCCTTTCATCTTGCTCAAAGTTGGACCAACTTTGATGGTAGATCCCACTCTGTATTTAGATAAAGTTGTTCATGAACTAGTACAGATGAGTTTTTAATAACTGCAGGGATGGAGGTAGCCCTTGCTCCAGTGTTTGATGTTCCTCACAGCAAAATCTTATTGGGATTTCTCATGTTGCCTCTCACCTGTAAGACCCCAAGTTCAAGCTACAACCTCATCAAAGGGATTTTTCTTTAAAAATATACAAGACTCCAAAAATTCACCTGCAGAGTTTATTAAAAGAGCCTTGAGAGAACACACGGGAGAAGACACTACACACATTTCTCAGGACATCAATTTTACTGGCAAACTTTAGAAAAAAGAGTACTTGACAAAAGTTTAAAGGGCAGCATTCAACAAAAATAAAACATTTCACAAAGAAATTACTTAGCACATCCTAACCCATAAAACTTAGCAAAATCCAACCAATCTGGGTTTAATTTACCCAAATATCAAGAAAGGAGATTAGGAGAAGAAGTAAAGAAGGAGAGAAAAAATGGGAGAATTATAGCTACCACCCCTATATCCAGTGTAGCTCCAGCTACCAGAAATCCAGGAGATAGCAGGGCCATGACCATACAGTATAGTTGGTTCTATCTGCTCTGGCCCCATGTGACCACCCCCACCAGACAGGACTTCTGGCCCACTGGCCACTCTGGGACTCTGGGGCAGAGTGAAGTGCAGTGCTCCTGGTGTGTTAGCCATTCTGAGGCTGAGTTAGGGGCTCCAGGGGGTACAGTGCGGGGCAGTGCTCTGGTGTGCCAGAGCTGCTCTGGTGCTGCCCAAGAAAGCTCCACTTCAAGACATTTGACCTGTCCCTTCCCCTCTACACTCATACTTGAGTTGGTCCGAGCCAATAATTAATATCCAGTGTCTCATATCAACCCTGTTGCTGTGCTGCTCTAAGGGGACGCTGGCTCTGCCTTCTCTGTAACCTCTCACTAGGTAGTTGAAATCAGCTGTCAGATCCCACTTTGAGCTATCTGCTTATCATACTGAACAAACTCAGCTTTCAGAGACTCCTCCTGTATCCCTATCATTGCAGTGGCTGGACTCACTCCAGTTTGAAAGCAGTTTTCTGGTAGCAATCAGCCCAAAGCTGGATATATTGCTTCATATATAATCTCACTAATGCTGGAGTGTGTAAACACTTCCTTCAAGCCTGCTGGCTCTGCACTTTGTAATACAACTGAACGTGTTGTTAGCATTGGTGCATGAAGAGCAAGAAGGGAAAACTCTGACCAAGCTTGAGGGCTTCTCAGTCCAGGCTTGAAAAAAATCCTGTGGTAGAGTAATTTTAGTAACTTTTACACTTAAGATATGTCATAATGTTTCACAAAACAAGACTTTACAAAAATGACAGCATCCTCCATACCAAAAGAGTAGCCTTAAAACTACTCTTAAAAGCACAGTCTTGACATGTTCAGGTAGTACCTTCAGGGCCTTGGCATTTGATATTCTCTGCAGAGAAGAAAAAAGTGTTTTAAAAGATAGAACAAATACTGCCATTTAGCTGTGAGTAAGGCAATACTTTCAGCATGATGCTCCAAAGGGCCACGGCAGACCTAGATGAAGAAGATAGTATCTACATTTGATATCGTACTGATGGAAGCCTATTCAACCTAAGGCGACTGAAGGCCCATACTAAGACCTTAAATCATCTTGTCTGTGAGCTGCTTTATGCTGATGATGCTGCCCTCATCGCCAACACAGAAGTAGCTCTGCAGTGTTTAACATCCTGCTTTGCAGACACTGCTGAGCTTTTTTGGGCTGGAAATCAGCTTAAAGAAGACTGAAGTTCTCTATTAACCTGCACCTCAGGAAGTCTTCCATCATCCCCATATCACCATTGGCGAATCAGAGCTCAAATCAGTCCAGCAGTTTAATTACCTAGGTAGCCTCATCTCTTCAGATGGTAAGATTGATGGAGAGATAGACAACAGGTTGGCAAAGGCATATAATGCTTTCGGAAAAATCCATAATAGAGTTTGATGAAATAAACACCTGAAGAAAAGTGCAAAGATCAGTGTTTACAGAGCCATTGTGCTGTCTACTCTTTTATATGGTTCCGAATCATGGGTCATCTACTGCCACCACCTACGACTCTTGGAATGCTTCCATCAACGCTGCCTCCGTATGATCGTAAACATCCACTGGTCAGATTATGTGACTAATACATCTGTTCTAGAACAAGCAGCCACAAGTATTGAGGCCATGCTGTTGAGAACACAGCTGCGTTGGGCAGGACATGTCTCTAGGATGAAGGACTAGAACCTCCCTAAGACTGTGCTTTATGGTGAGCTTGCCACTGGCTCCCACAAGAGAGGAGCCCCGAAGAGAAGATACAAGGACTCCCTGAAACAACATCTCAGCCTCAGCCATATTGATCTACTCTGGCCTCCAGTTGGGGGGTCTGGATACACACTATCTATAACACTGCTGCTTCCTTTGAGAACGCACGCAGGATCACTCTTGAGGAGAAAAGACAACGCGAAAAGATTCATGTCTAGCCAATACCACCTAAGGAGTCTTTCTGCTGTGCCTTTTGCAACCGGTGTTGTCTATCTCGTATTGGCCTTTTTAGCCACCAGCGTGCTTGTAGCAAATATGGGTAAGAGTCCTTCCCAAATCTTCGTTCACGAAGCCTAGCCGTGATGAAGGCAACCCTACTTTGTATGACAGGCACTGGATACTGTATGCTTGAACTAAAATCAAAAGTATAACATGAAATCTCAGTCCCATGGCTTTCACTTGCCCAGACAGCTCAAATCTTGCAGACGATTCACAATCAAAATGCAATGTGGCCTTCCTAAAGAAAAATATGGGCAGGCCAGCACCCAAGAAAAGTTTAAGCACCAAGCTCTCAGGAGTAATTGGGGAAAATCTGCCTGTCACTTTTGAGTGCTCAGAAAACACAGGATACCTTTGAAGTACAGATAAAACATATTTTTCATTCATTATGAAATACATTTCTGAATGTCTTAGAAAATTACCATGACTGGAGAGACTAGAGAAATAGACAAAAATAGAAACCAATAAATATCCACAGGAAGAATATAGCTCGTAAAGAATGACAAGTATCTTGCAAAATGTTGTCTGTTAACAGAAGAAGGCCTTCAATGTTTTCAAATCAAAGAATGTTATTTATCTAAATGTCAAATTAAAACTTCTAAGTATTTTTGCAGCTATCATGCAATTGGTTTTATGCTTATGCTTGCAAATCAAATCCCACAAAAGTCAAAATACCCTACAAGTCCAAACTCATTTCTCCTTTCACCTCTGGTGTTCTCAATGTACTGGATGTAAATCACTCCTTGAGATGGTAGAGATAGCATTATGGCTAACAAATAGTATCACAAAGTCCAATGGATGAAAACATGACATTAAAACACCCTCCAGCACCTCAATACTCTTCCTAAATTGTGGGGCCCAGAACTGGATACAGTACTCAGGGTGCAGCTAACCAGTGTTGAGTACAGGGGAGGAGTCACTTCCCTAGTCCTGCTGGCCACACTATTCCTGATACAGGCCAAGATGCCATTGGCCTTTTTGACCACCTGAGTACACTGCTGGCTCATGTTCAGCCTGCTGTCAATCAGGACCCCCAGGGCCATTTCTGCCTGGCCACTGTCTAGCCATTCTGTCTGCAGTGCTGCATGGGGTTGTTGTGGCCCAAGTGCACAAGGACCTGGCACAAGTTGTGAATTGCTCCAACTCACAGAATATCATAAATGGGGGATATTACAATAGGATGAAAGGAGGGACTGTATGAATTAAATTCTTCTCTTGAGAAATCCTGAATTTAAAAATGAGGAACCAGACTTTGCATTTAATTTGATTAGTACCCTTAAGCTTTATTAGATCATTGATTTCAAATAGACATATGTGGTCTAAAGAGCTGGCAAAAGAAAAGAGAACTATGAAGCAGGCCTCTTTAAAAAATAACTCTTGCCTACCCCCTAAATTAAGAGAGCAAAAGAAAGCTGATGTTATGTAGCATAAATAGCCTGTTATAACCTACCTTGAGAATGCAACATTGTTTTTATATTATGTCAGTGTCTTCCTTTGCAGTGTATTACAGTTTGGTTTTTAACCAGTGCAGTATCCAGACCTATGCTTTTATTTTTCTTGACTGAATAAAAGACGCTGATCATTTTAAATCATCCAAAAATATTGTGTGGTATTTTGAAACTTAAAGACAGCAATGGGAAATATTGCACTGACATGCACAGTAAGACCAGAAATCTTAACTAAGTTTTGACAAAGAGAAAGCATCTTCAAAGAGCCAACATCCCAGGAAAAAATCCTAATACTTGCCAATCTCATGCATTCATCGAACTTTAGGATGAGGAATAAGAAAACTGGAAAGCCTAATACGATTTCCAGTGATCTCATTCCCCGCAACTAACCCTGACCCCTTCCTACATCGCACCTCTAGATGAAAAGGCGCTCTGCTCTGAACCATCCCCCAGGGCCCCTCGCTGTCGACGAGGGAGATGATCGGGTCGAGCTTTTCCCTCCACCCCTTCGAGAACACCCTTGCTTTTCCCTTGGGGCTCTGTCACCCGCCGCAGTGCCGTCACCTGGGAAAACCCACCGTCTACGAAGCGGTGGGGAGCCCTTGGCAGTGACTCCACTTCCCCCCGCGCCCCCGCCCCGCGGAAACTCACGGGCACCGGGGCTGCGGCGGGAAGCCGTGGGCCCCGCCGGCGGGACGGCCTCCTCCTCTCCGTGGAGCTTCAGCACCGCGGCCAGCGGGGGCCGGCAGGGGCTTGAGGGGAAATTCCCGGCGCCCACCCGCACCAGGGTGCGCCGTGGCCGGCTCAGGGCCGAGGTGACAGAGCCCATAGCTGCCTCGCACCGCCGGGAAGACCTCTCTTCTCTGTGCGGGGAGCAGCCCCTGGACGATCGGAGCACTACTGCCCCGACCCAACCTCCTCTCCCGGGAGAAAACTCCCGCTGCGAGCCCCGCCTCGCCGGGACGTTACTTCTCCTCTCCCCATTCCCGCAAAAAGCGTGGAGAGGCTGGAGCCTATGAACTAACCCCAAGAACCTCCCGCTCTGCGCGCGGTCCTCTCGCCTCCCCGGCGGAGGGAGTACCCTAGGGAGACAGCCCAGCTGCCGTCGGACAGCACGTCACCCCCACGGAGGTCGGCTGCGGCGTGCGGAGGCGATGAGCATCGGAGAAGTCGCGGCACTCAAGCACCGGCTGTGGCTCTTCGTCCTCTTTGTAAGGGAACACGAGTAAATTTAGTGTTTTTTTTCATCTGCATGTCCAGTTTTGAGGATATAAAAATTACCTCAGGGGCACAATAGAAGACTTGCGTTGTCACAGAGAAAGGGAAAGACAAGTATGGTAGTATACAGTGGGCAATCCTGCTCTAGCAGATCCTGCGTTTACGAGGGAGGGTTCAAGTATATGATGTCTAGAGGCAGCTGCCAACCACGACTATTCTGTAATATTAAATATTACAGCCTCACTGACTGTTCTATATTTATAGTTTATAAGAGTTTAGTTTGCAATAGATATTGTCACCAATTTTAACAATAATACATCTGTAAATACAACTGTAAATATAACCATCACTAGCACAGGTCTGATGCAATATGGATGCAGTTCTCAGCTGTTGGAGATTTCCCAAGCTGACTTTGATTTGGTAGCTGTAAAATGGGTCTTACAAAGTTTCACCTTTGCACTGTAAGTTTTAATTCAATTCAGTGCCTTCATGATATGGGAGAGGATGGATATTTCCTTATGTGTGTAAAATGACAGCACAATATAAATATTATTTCCTGATCATATTCTCTTGTTTCCTTCTATAACCCTTCATCAGTACTAACTCACAAAAATAACAATCACCGCCGGGTCTATCAGGAAGTCGAATAAGTCTGTTATCCCTGTTCTCCTTTGTGCTTGAGTAGAATCTGCCATTTTCCTGAGAAATTCTGTTCCTCAGAGCTGATTGCCACCAGATGCGTAGCTCTAACAGTGAACTCCCAAAGCAGCTCAGAACTGATGTAATAAACTGTGAATTGACACTATGACAGCCTTTCTTTTCTGAATTGTTCTTTTTTGTCTCCATGTCTCTACCTATATTTTCTTCTTGATCCTGCTTGCAAGGAGGCACAATTTCAGCACAAAATAGCCTGTCATACTGAGAACACATCTTGGTCTCGGGGATTTGCTTGATCAGGAAGGACTTTTCAAAAGCATGAGAAGACGGGACTGAAAATAGAAAGTATTAGCCTTTTTTATAAAAAATGCCACCCTCCCTCCCACTTTCCTCAGTTTTGGTGTACGGAAGGAGAAACTCTCTTTTATTGAAATATTCATTCTTAAAAGGATTATACTTTATTTGAAGAAGCAAAAAAAAATAAATGTAGCTGCATAGTAGAATTATCAAAGATGGCATGAAATTTTAAGAAATGAGAGTAAACTTTCTTCCTCATAGCATCACCAGGAAACTCTAAGTAGAGTATGTACATACAGTTGCTTCAGACAGCTATAGACCTCTACTACACAGGGACCGCTGTTATAGGTTAGAAAATCCAGGAGAATTTTTCTTCCCCCTGCCCCCCCCCCACTGAAGGAAAACGGAGTGAGTGGGGGAAGGGACTCAATAAGTTTTAAAAAAGATCTGGTCGAATTCCCTGGCTAATGGCCCATCAGAGGCTGGGGGTTGCGGGCACTCCTGAGAGGGGAGAAGGGCAGACTACGGAGTTCTCTCTCTGGGACGGAGACAGGGACTGTGTCCGGGCATTTTCTGGAGGAAAAGCCTGGGAGCCAGTCTTTCGGGTTTCTTCGTCCTGGTGAGGCCTGACCACTGGCCCTGTGCCACCACTGCCTCGTGACTCCAGCCAGGACCTACTGGGTTTTTTCGTCGGAGAAGTCCGTGCTCACTGGGAGGGAGGGAAGGAGCCCAGAGACACCGTCACCTGAGACAACAGTGAATCCCGTGGGCGTGAACTGCTTTCTTTTCCCTTTTCTCCCACTGGGGGGAAGGGTCCCCCCCATTGCTTCTCCCGCGATCCGAGACCATCCCCCAGACCGCCAGAGCCCAACAGCGCCCCCTGCAGGCCAACACGGAGAACTGCATGCTCTGCACCTCCAGCGACTCAACAGCGCCCCCTGCAGGCCACGATTAGGACTGCGCTAAAGGACAGAGAAGTACTCATTCAGACTTTTTTTTGTTTTTTTTTTCCTAGTAGTTTTTTTGTGTTCTGTTACTGTTTTTGCCAACATACACATATCTTTTAATAAAGGGTTGTTATTTCTTCTGGTTTTTCCACACTTCCTCGATTAAAGCCCCTTAATTTCAAATTTACAATTGCAGAGAGAGAGAAGTTTGGTCTATTTCATAACTCATCCTCTTTAGCAAACATTCCAGTCTCTTCAGACTGAGACAACTGCACACACAGGCAGAAGAATAACATGCTGTTTGATCCTGAATTGGTCCATCTCTGATATTAAAGGGGCACATTGTTATTCCAGAGTAGAGTTCTTTCACCTGATATGCACGAGGCCAAGCAACACACACACACAGACTCGAGCTGTTTGATTTATTTACCATTCTCCACAGAAAGGGGTAGTGGGTGGCAAATCCACTAAACTGAAAAACAAGTATCAAAACTTTTAACTATTTATATATTTTAGCAAAGAGAAGGCATTAATGTTCATTGTCTACAATTTATCTTGCTCTCTTATTAAGAACCTGAATAACCCACACCTTCTGGATCAGGTCATAACAAGCCTAAAGAAAAATTAAGCTTATAGTATCACCATTAGTGATATTATAGTATTATAGTTTTTTAACTGCTTATCTTAACTTTAGATTTATCTGAATCTAAAAGGGTAAATGGCTCAAGGATTCAAAGCTAATGCAAGTTTTTTAGGAACAGTGACAAAAAAGTGACAAAAACTCCACTGCAGCATTTCTAGCATTAGCCCTTACATTCAAGTCCCAAACAGGAAAGGCGGCAGGAATATGAGTTCATGGAACCGTTAACATTAGGAACACTTGGCTCCCTCTTCAGCCAGAGTTGTGCCCTATTTTTGACAATGAAGATTTACCAGCAAACAAAATATACTCAAGCTGCGAAGAGATGCCTTTTGCCTCAGCCACGTGACTAAATTTCTGCAACCATCCATAGAGGATTCAGACAGAGGATGACGAGCAGATACGTGGCACCAATATCTGTCATTGATACAAAGGTGGGAAGAGCAGCATTGCTCAGCAGAGTATGAGAGAGGAAAAACTGACGGGAAAGAAGAAGAAAGTTGTCTTGGTTTAACAAGATTACAACATAGAAATTAAGAAAGTTCAGGTGGAAGTGTGGAAAAGGAAAAGAAACAAAATCCAACGAAACAACAAATGGTGCAATCAAAAACTTTCAGAAGAAGCAAAAAAAAGTCCCAATTCCCTACATGGGGGGGAAGAAACCCACGTAGCCCAGGGACGGGAGGGGGGAAGGCAGGACTGTCCCGGCAATTCAACAGTTGCTCAGAGCAACGTGTGCTCGCAGCCAGCACTGAAAAAAGAAGTCCTTTTTCCCACAGGCAGTACAAACGCACAATACCTTTCTCTGAGATGGGTCGGTTTCTCTCTCTCAGTTGTTCTCTGCCAGGTGTCCCATGGGGAAAAAAGTCTTCCTGTCAGGAAAAGAAAAAGAGGCGGGTGAAACTGGGCTCCCCACTCAGTCTGGTCTGCCGGACAAACCCCAAAAAACCCCAGAAAAAGAGATTCCCAGATCTCCCTGTGGCAAACGCGCATCCCAAGAGAGCTGGCCCTCCCTCTGCTCCCGCACCTCACAGCATGTGCGTCTTCGCCCCGTCCCCCGCACCCCAAAAGAAACAGTTTGAGGTGGGCGGGGAGGCTGACGTTGGGAAAAAATTTCAACATCTCTTTTCAAACCTCTGACAAAAGTGCATTACTGCTCCACCAGCAGCCCAACCATTTTAATTACAGTTATCTGGTGAAGTACTAAACATGCCTTTACAGTATAGTGACTGTGTTTTACTCAAAGAGGCACCAAAGACATGAAGGCCAGACAGGATGGATAGGGCCTATGCATTTGTAGTCTATCTGCTGCTATTCTCCATTCTAAAAATTCTTCCTTCTACATGTACCATCCTGAGGCTAAATTCCCCCCCCTTCATTACCAGTCTTGAGGCTTAGCAACAAACTTAAAACTAAACAATTCAAGAGAAAAAAATAGTCTTCTCAACTCCATTCTCTGTGGACTGCACATCTTTGTAGCACTCCCACCATGCAGGTTGCAGCCTCTTAATCTAAGTTATGCAACTGAACACTTTAAATTTTTCATCATGGTCCCACTTGAATTTGGTGGATTTTCTACTGCTCTTGTATATTAATTGGGCACTTATAAGCTTCTGCAGATTTATAAATTCAAACCTTTGACAATATGCATTAGAGCTACAATTTCTGATTTTCAGCACATATGAAAATAAAATTTTTGGCTCAATAGCTGAAAGATATTTATATGAAATGAAAGATCATTTATACCACATAGATGGAATAATAAAGACTCCTTGGCTAATGTCATATTAAGAGGTTGAAATTATCAGAATCAGCTAAGCTTGTAAACCCCAAAAAATTAGTGTACCTAACAGATTAGGACGATAAGGATTTTGGTAAGATAATCAAAGCAGTCCTTTCCTCTGCAAACTGGAACACAATTTATAATATTGCACCAGCATTTAAAAACCCATTCGATCTCCTCATTTCTTGTCCAACGTTTGCTTTTAGACTTTTGAAGAAATGCTTCCACTGTCTATACCTAAAAATGAGACTTTATATATCTAAACATTAAAAGTTAATGCATTAGAC